TTTGCATGTTGTTCCAGCAGCTCTATAAAAGCTGCGTTTTGAACGGAAATCCCCCGTCTTTTACACATTGTATTTTCTCACCGTTGCGTGACTTTGTTGATAGTCGCTTCAACCACTTGAAACGAAACCTTAGCTTGTCATAACGAACTTCCGGTTTCACTTTATTTAGTGTTTATTTATATGGGGAAAGCTTACAAGGTAGATCAGTAACAATTGTTTACCACCGTTTCAGGACATGGTACCTTGCTCTGTGTCAACGGCTACTCATGGAGAGCAACCTCATTCGTTAAATGAAGGCACCAGGTAAAATATCTTTCATTAATGAACACTGTTTAATATACATGTATACGATATAAAAATGTAAGTATGAAATTGGACACTGCTGGACTCCACTTTGAAGAAATTACGTAACAAAAGGTATCTACTGAGTAACTGTGGATACCGATTTCGGTTCTCACTCAGTGAACGCTTTCAGCTCCCTAAGTGTGCTTTTTGTAATCTTTTATTACAGCCATCGGAGAAGAGCTGGTAGGCCACAAAAGACAATATCCAAGGAACTCTTGGAGAATTGTCTGATGTTGAAAGCCCCCATTTCGGGAGTGGCAAGTTTTTTTGAGGTATCGCGGCCATTCGTTTACAAAGCAATTCGGGATTACGGCATAGAGTATAGAAAATTTACCGATTTATCGGATTCTCGACTGGAGGAGATAGTGGCGTCCGTTAAAGAGAATCCACGCGCTGGTGAAGTGATGCTACAGGGTCATTTACGAGCGCAGGGTTTGCATGTACAGCTATACATCAGAGTGATCCCATGGGTGCAGAGGCAAGACGAAGACCACCCATTCGTCGACGTGTCTATTCGGTTCCATGCCCAAATTATCTATGGCACATAGACGGTAATCATAAGCTTATTAGGTGGCGAATGGTTCTCCATCATGCCGTCGACGGCTTCAGTCGCCTCACTGTTTTTTTCCCGCTGTTCAGCAAATAACAGGGCTGCAACCGTGCTATCTCTATACCAAGATGCAATACGACAATACGGACGTCCGTTCAGAGTGAGAACGGATCATGGGGGGGAAAATGTCGCTGTCTGGAACGACATGGTAAATGCCTGGGGCGAAGAAGCCAGACCCGTTGTCGTCGGCAGCTCCGTACATAACCAGCGCATCGAGCGCCACAATCGAGCTGTTAACGAGCAAGTGTTTAATGGATTCAAACAAGAATTTTATGACCTAGAGAGGGAAGGAATTTTGGATCCTTTAAACGAGACAGACATGTTTTGTCTACAGTACATATACCTGCCAAGAATAAACAGGAGACTGACAGAATTCACTGATGCTCATAACAATCATGCCGTGTCAACAGAGAGGAACAATTTCCCGGCTCAGTTGTTTTGGTTAAATCTCCATCTTACTGCCTTCAGAGGAGGCAGGTCTTCTGACGATGCTTGGCGTGGTATGAACGTCCGAGATTTGATGTCAAGTCAAACTCTTCCACACGTGCAAGTTCCTGATACAAGTAATCCTCTTAGCAACGAATCTTACCTCCGACTGCAGCGTAATGTGGACCCTCTCTCCTCGGCCAGCGGCAAAGAACTATACCGCTGTGCCTTGCAAATGGTGGGAGAAATGATGCAACAACAAGACAGCAATGACTAAACGTGATTTAGATAACAATTTATTTTACTGTACATTTTTATTCTGGGTTGTAACAGAGCAAACCCGAGGTGACCATTAGTCAAAGCTCGTAACATTAACTTCACTATACCTGGAAACCGAACGCCATCAAGGGCACGTGTTTGGTGTTTCTGAGACTTAGCAGGGGGTGGGAGAGGGGAAAAAGTCTCCCCTATTAATGGTTACGTCTAATGTCCCTAGTTAAAGAATTCGCGTCCCTCCCTCCCTCCCCCTCACAGCCCTCTGGGCTCAATAGCATTAAAAAGCGGCAATTTTCTATAATAAAGCTTAATTTCAGGTGCCGTAAAAACAGCTCCGCAAAACTGACACTTGTCACAAGAATGAACTCAACATAGTAAATTCATAACAGTGATACAACAATTAACTGCAATTATTACGTATATCAAAATATTATTTCAAATTTAAACGCGCACATTTCTTGTTGATTAATAAAAATAATATAACCAAAGTGTACTGTTCAAGCGTATCCAAAGCATGGGGAATTTTTAATCGCAAAATCCATCTTTCGTTTGAATTCTTCATACTCTGAATAGCAGACAGGAATCCTAATAGTATTGGCGCACGTATTGGCCATTGCAAAGGGCTCATCATCTAAGAACGTTATGGTGGTGGGTTGATCAAATCCCAGTGGTGGTGGTCTGCTTGCCCCAGTCACGAATACCAGCACTTCTTCGATGGAAGCTTCCGCGTCGTTAGCTGCAGGAAAGTGATTCATTAGAAGGGATTGTATATTGTTCGTTAATAACAGAATGGGGAAATTGTCAAGGAAACAACTTTTCCGGGGCTTAGTATTCCCCTGTGTAAGTCTTTTAGGTATGTGTCGCCCCAAAGGGTATGGGCTTTTGAACCGTTTTGGTCTGAAGACGGATATAAATTTAGACCATTATGGTCTCAACGTTCAACGGAACGAGAGCGAACTAGTGCTCACTAGTGTAACTGCAAACATATCTCTTTACTTAGGCTAAGTAAGGAGAAAGAATGCATAATTTGTAGTAATAATTTAATTTAGGTGTATTGCAACGTTGCAAGCAATTTACTATATTGTATGGTAACTTGCCTTCACAGTCTTGGAGATAATCTCTCCAGTACACAATTGCCCTCTGCTTGGCTACGTAATGGTTTGACCTTGGTTTGGCATATTCGATGTGGAACGAGGCGTCCACCATAGCCGCCGTTAGGAGTTTGTCAGAGCGACACAGGCACTTTGTGAATTCTTTGGGATTTTCTTTTATTTTTATCGTATACCCCCAATGTGCGCAAACCTTCGTCCTGTTGCGTTATTTTGTTTGTTGTTATAACTCACCTCATCAGGAGTAGAGGGATGTGATGAGATGTGCTTCAAATGCACTTCCGGTGACGTAATCAGCATGTGAACCATCTTGCTTTGCGATCTTTTGTATGCAGTTCCTGCCATTTTGTTTAGATATTAAAAACAAGTAAGAAGCAACATCACCTCCTTTATAGCTTGGGGCTATTACACTCTCTGCTCTGGACAACCCCCTCTCCCCAGTACTCTCTGACCAGTCCCTTAGCAAGTGGTGCAATAATACCTTGGTGAATAAGGGGTGATGAGTCAATGTACTCTGAAAAATAGTATTCCATATTTTATTACATTTTTTTGTAGGAGGAGGGTGGCTCTGATATCATTACAGGCGTGATATTTGGCCTTTCTCAGTTTTAAAGTCCAAATATTTGAAAACTTTCTTGTCATAATTGTTGCAAACTATCAATTTTACCTTTGAATGACCAATACAATACACTTTGTTACTAGCTGGTCATTCTCATCAACCTTTTACAAAACATGATCAAGTCTGTCATATTCAAGCAAAGAATATAGCAACACACATGTAGCAAATAAAATGATGGATAAGCTGTAGCAGTTGGAGATTCCCAGCTGTTGTTATTGTGACTTTAATTTGGTGCATTGTCACAAATAATCTACTCTGACTAAGTCCCAAGGTAAGCAGGCTATAAAGAAAGAAGAAATCCAACATCTAAAATCAAATCTTTCATTTGAATGAAAATGAACATCTTAAAAGTACAGAAATTTTTGTAAAACACATAATGTTCTGAAAATGAACATAGGCAAAATACAGAAAAAATAATTACAAACTAAAAAATTTTTAAGGAAACATTGGTGGTTTTCCCACCCACGCGGTGGCCACCACGGCTACCACGGCTTTGGCGGCCACCCTGACCACCACGCCAAAAGTGTTAGGCTGCTGAGGGGCACTCCCTGTATGAGTGCCCCCATCTCTTGCATGTGAAACATTTGACTGAAAAAAAAAAAAGAAAATCACATTAAGGGAAACTTAATTGTCTTCCTCACATTTTAATGAAAATGAACATTTCAAAAGTACAGAAATTTTTGTAAAACATGTAATGTTCTGAAAATGAACATAGGCAAAATACAGAAAAAAATAATTACAAACTAAAAATTTTTAAAGAAACATTGGTGGTTTTCCCACCCCACGGTGGCCACTACGGCCATGACGTTTTTGGCGGCCACCCTGACCACCATGCCAAAAGTGTTAGGCTGCCGAGGGGCACTCCCTGTATGAGTGTCTTCCTCACATGCTACTGGTTTCAATTGTCAAACCAGTTGGGCTGTGATGTTTCCTTTGTTTCAAATTCTGACAAATTTGATGAAGACAATAAGACAAAGACAAATTAAAGCCTAAGAAGTTTTAATACTGCATTTGTTGTTGTAAGTTTATTATCATTGGGGGTGAAATATTAAATGGAAACAAAGGTAAACTTCACTAAAAAAATTATAAAATTGGTGTCAACCAAAGAAGTTGAATGGTTGTACTCATCATTCTAATATAGTGAGAATTTTTAAAGAGAGAAAAACATGGCAATTGTTTTTTATTTTTCCTAGACGCAGAATGGCATAGAAAATATCTGCCTGTAAGGTGATTTCATTAACTGTTCAAATTAGCAAATCTAATGTGGTTTAGCATTATCAGTACTCTAAGCGACAAGAGTATGCATCATCACAGTGGTCAAAATGTGGTGGACTCGTGAGGCACAGCCAACTGAGTCCACAACAAGTTTTGACCATTTCAAATGGGGCCATAGTACTTCCAGGTCTCACCTAATATAAAGAAGTCTTAGATTTTTACTTTTCTAATGATATATCTGATTGTAACTTCCATTTAAAAAAGCTACCATATGTCCATTTGCAAATATTGATATAATCAATTGTTTCAGTTATCACTTACTCCTGTGTTGTTTCATGGTCAGTCCCTCAGGTGAGGCAGCTGGCCTAGGTGGCACAACAGCTGCCTTTGGTGGGGCTCCTGCTGGTGGCTGCTCCTGGTTCACCTGCTGTTGCAGCAGGGGCTCCTGCAGGTGCTTCTTCTGGGCCTCCTCCTGCAGCAATGCCTATGGGCATTTCTTCATTACCTGTTTCAAAATAATTTGAATAATAATGGTAATTATCACACTCACTAAATAATAACTCTTGGTAGGTAGAACAAGCAACAGCAGGACTGGCACAGCTGGTAGTATAGCAGCAGGTCGAGCAGCACAGCAGCAGGTGGCACAGCGGGCTTCCACTGGGGCCCTACAGGGGCCCTTTACAGATTGCACTGCTTGGGGTTATGGGCATTTCTTCATCACCTGTTTCAAAACAATTTTAAAAAATGAGCTAAACACACTGATTTACAATTCTTGGTAGGTAGAACAAGTGAGAATGTTTAACAAATGGCCATTAGATTAAGGTGACTGTAATTGAGTTTACTTAACATTCCTATTACAATATAGTTAACAATGGTTCCATGCAAGGAAGGGTTTGATACTAAATGATGTTCACAATTAACTGGTGACAACTGCTCATCATGAAGACCAAAACAATTGTATAGGCTATACTCTTTAGCTTACCAATGTTATTTTCAGTTCCACTCCTTGCTAAAACAAA